AAGTCTCGGACAAATACGTCCAAAGGGAACCTCAGCCCGTACTGAAGCTGTCTTGTGTACACCCCCACATACCTCGGGGGTGGACGATGGATTCTATCGGATGCCGCGGGCATTCGGCACCAATACCCATCAGCTTCAAAAATGCCGTAATGCAACTCAATTTGCTCGGCAAACCGATATTGTTCGGCATTCTCCACCCACCATGAGTAGGGGCGGTTCTTTATCATGGCCGAAGCTACTTCGGCATTCTCCCACTCTGAAAACCCGGGGAGGATATCCCAAAGGACAACGGGAACTTCATCGTCCCGTCCAGAAGCGCTCAGCCCCTCCGTTCTCTGAGGAGGAGCTGAGGAAATTGGAGTCGCCCTAATCCCTTCAGCAGGGTCAGACTCTGGCCTTTGTCCATTCCAGGTCTCAATCCTGTTCCTAGGATCGGGAATTGGCCTTGCTCTTCTTGGAGCACGGGCTCTACCTCTAACTCCTCTTGCCATTGATTATTTCGAAGAAAAAAGTCGAAAAAAAAAGGGAAGGAGATCGAATTCGAAGAAAAATAAACTGAAATCAAAGGAATTTACCTTAATCTGAAGCGAAAGTTGCCGATTTACGAGTTCGTAGTGGCAAGTCTCAGTTTCTAAGCTTAATGCTCGGGGAATTTGCGAAGTTTTGATGCGGGTTCTTGGTTTCTCTCGAGAATTCTGGGTTTGTGTTGGTGAATAAGTGAGGAGAGATGACGCGCCTCTGTTTATATCTCCAAGAATGGGAATACGGGGAGTCCGCGTTTCAATTTCTCTTAAATACCCCACTAAGTAACCGTTAAACACACGACCTTGCGATTAAACTGCCCATTATCCGTCCAACTTCCACAATCATCCGCCTTAACCGTTGTTATCTCATTAATTACGGTTTAAATTCAAATTTTTGGATTAATTAAATCATTTACTTCCCTCCTTTTCTGAATTAAATCAAACCCGACCCGTCATCCTTCCAAATCGGGTCTGGGGGGCAAGTTGTTTGGGTCCAATTTAGTCCAATTGGGCCTAGGTATTAAATGATCCAATTAAAAGCCCAAGGTCAAGGTTCAACTCTCCAATTGTGCTAAAGTCAAAGGTCAGCCCTCAAAGCAAGACAATTGGGCTAAGGCCCAACTTCTCCATGTATGAAGAGGTATAAAAGCCATCAATATTCATACATTCATAGATATATTCATAGATTCATATATTCTCATATACTCAAATAAAGCCTCAAGCAACAAATTCTCTTGCATAGTGTTCTCTTTCTACACATTGTACTGACTTTAGCATCGGAGGGGCCTTCCTCGGCAACACCCCCGAGGCTAGTTTACGTGTGTTTACTGTGCAGGAAACCTTCGGCGCAACATAACTTGGACCGAATCCAGTCTTCTCCGTTTCAGCGGACCTTCGGCAAGGTCCCATTGTTTTCACCCGAAACAACTGTTACATGTCTTTATAATCAAGGGGAGGATGAAGTGACAGATGAAGCTCAAATATTAACAAAATTACAACTAAAAATCCAAATGCACTAGCGTGCAAACTGCAAACTAGGGCTAAGACAAAATTTAGGAGGAAGTTGTAAAAAATGACATTATTTGCTTTATCAAAATATCAATGCATAGCTCCAAAAATGGGTGTTGGAATTTCATCGATTATTGTTTTATCAAATAATATCATCAACACATAACTCCAAATGGATGTTGGGATTTTCATACTTTCTATTATCTCTGGCAACTTTCTATTATTGTTTACGTATTATATTTTGAAAATATCCTATTATTATATATAATTTATATATTTCGTATAAATAGAGGAATCGTTATTCCAATTTACTAAGTTCATAGCTTTCAATAAATTTTACTTTCGCTCTCAAAATTTTTATTTTTTGTAAATTAGATATATATTGCGCATCTGTGTAGGTAAAGTATGATCTACTACATGTTATTTAAAAAAACAAGGTTATCGTTTGTGAATAAATGAATAATCATTATATACGCTAACAAAAAGAAAGAAATCAGCGGCAGGTTTGTTTGTTATGTAAAAGGTGTTGAATATTCTATTGAGCACCCATGAAATAAGGGTAGGATGCAGTGTAAAGATTTGACAGGAATTCATGAAAATTTGATCACATCCCACATGCATGCATGCAAATTAAAACATCCTCTTTGCCTTTTGATTAACAACTTTCATTCTCCTTATAATATTATACTCCCTCCGTCCCATAATACATGAGATGTTGAGCTTTTTTTCACTATTTATGCATTAGGTTTGACCATAATTTTTTACTAACATAATAAAAATATATTTTATATATCATAAAATATATTATTACATAGGTTTTAATATAAATTGCATAATATAATTTTTAAAATTATTTTCATTAATGTTTAATTATACTCCCTCCGTCCCGTAATACATGAGACATTGGACTTTTTTCACTATTCATGCATTAGGTTTGACCATAATTTTTCACTAACATAATAAAAATTATATTTTATCATAAAATATGCTGTTAGATAGATTTTAATATAAAGTTTCATAATATAAACTTTAAAATAATTTTCATTAATATATAATTATATAAAAATAAAGTCAAACTAGTGTAATGGCATGTGTGTAATGTTTGATCGTGTCATGTATTATGGGATAGAGGGTGTATAAAAATAAAATTAAATTAGTGCATTGACAATTTGACATGTGTGCAGTGTTTTACTGTGTCATGTATTATGGGATAAAGGGAGTATATAATCCGATGTATTCTATCACTAGTCACCATTTATGAGTTGTGAAGGTCAATATACATACAACAATTAATTTAATTAATAGAGATGGTTTTGATTTTCAAAATACTTGTTACGTCTCAATGAAGATTATATATATAATTTTATTGTATTAAGAAAAGTAGCTCATCAGATCTTGAGCGATTTTCTCTACTTAAAAGTTTTAATTACTCATAGTATCATTATTTATTTATTTATTTATTTTTATTTTTTAAAAAAAAATTTATGCAAAAGATTTCCCGATAGAAAAGATAAATACAAAAAATAGTATATGTAGTAGTTATAGTTGACTAAGACTATGTTATCCCTGTGTACAGATTTGTTAAGATTAACTAACCCCTTTCATTTGTTGCTTAGCTTAACTTGTTTTTGTTGAATTTTTTTCTTAACTTATTTTAAAATTGAGCTTGTTTTTGCAAAATTAAACTCATTTTGCCGATATTCATTAGCATTACTTTGGATTTCAATTGTTTTGTTGAACTTACATTTGGTAAACTTAATTTTACTTTGTATAGCTTATTATATTTTTTTTACAAAAGGTAAATTGGCATCAATTACACCAAACATAGCTTGGGTGTAGTAAAAAATACTACCTTTTTTTTACTAGTAGCTATAATAATACAAGAGTATTAACTTTTGCAATGGGTTGAAGCAGGTGCCAAAATTGACACACACTTACTGTTGTGTTGCCTACTAGAAATAGGAATTTATGACACTACATTGTTGCAAAAGTTTGTGTTGTTATGGCTATTCGTCAAAAATTGTGCTGCACATTTAATCCAAGCTATAGTTGGGTCTGCTGAGTTCAATTTTACCTGTAACTTATAGATTTATAGAGTATTACTTTAGCAAACCAATAAATCTTGTTGGCTTAACTACGAGGGATGATGTTGATTTACCATAGCTTGGAAATTCTAACTTGTATATGAAGTTGTTTCATGACAGTATATGAACGGTATACCTCAAAATAAAGAAATAAACTTCGATCATGTTCACTTCACCTTAAAAAAATAATATTTAGTAAAAATAATTTCAGTTCAATAAAAATAATTTCAGTTCAGCAAAAATAAGTTCAGTTCAGTAAAAATAATTTTAGTTCAATAAAAATCAGTAACTTTAAAGAAGAAATGCAACAGAGAATCAGTAAAAATAATTTCAGTTCACCAAAAATAATTTCAGTTCAGTAAAAATAATTTAAGTTCAGCAAAAATAATTCCAGTTCATTAAAAGTAAAAATAATTTCAGTTCAGCAAAAATAAGGTGAAGTGAATGGGGCCTTCCTTTGTTTCCCTTAATTTGCAAGAATTTGGCTATGCTTTATTCACATACTCTACTTTGATTAACCTTTATAAAGGAATAATATAAGTCATGTGAAATCTTGTTAGATTAGCCTTAATTTATGCTTTCATAATATCAAATTTAATCTAAGGAAATAACTTGTCTAATAGAGGTTAGTGGTAGTGCAAATATTTTTTTTTTTCTTCTTCTTCTTTTTGTAAGCAATAGTGGTAGTGCAATCTAATTTAGCTCTACTAAATTATGAGTCTAATAGTGGTAACCTCTAATACCGCTATTAGCTAATTAATTGTACCTGCCTTTAGTCCCACAGACAAAAATTATAAAAGGGCTTGTCTAAAAGGTCCTTCCAAAACTATTGGGCCTTTTACACAACTTGATATTTTGGAATTTAATAATTCCAATTTTCTAGCACTAAGCTTCCTACTCAAGGCCCAATTGTGCATGTTAAGCTACTACCCTATTACCCACAACAAATCATCATCATTATTACCAAGCATCACTGGTCACACAAGTCACTAACTATCCTTTTAGAATTAAGGCTCTGGTTGTCTGTACTCTTTCTGTCCCTTTATTTTTGTCCCATTTAACTTTGTGCGGTGTTCTAAATACGTGTTAAAACGTATATATTTTCATTTTCACACGCGTAAAAATGGTAAAAAGTTGATATTAATTAAATTTATAATGAGACGAACCAAACAAGATTTCACATGGCTATATTTCCTTTTGTTGAACAACGGGAATTTATGGTCAAAGTTTTCAAAGTTTAACCCACATTTTGGCAATTGGACAAAAAAATAGAGACGGAGGGAGTATCAGACTTGTCATTCATGTTGGGGGATTTGCGACTGAAGATATTTCCTTGTAAATTACTAAATTACCCAAGACTGGAGTTTAAAAGCTTTTTTCATACAAAAGATAATGTTGACAACTTTATGTGATACGATAAAATAGTCGAATAATTATGAAAACGAGATAGAGGTAATTGTAAAGTGTGACACTTCTTATCTTTTAGGGAAATTCAAATGTCAAGTACGTCGTCTAGCCCTTGTGTACCAAACTAAGAATGTAATTTCTGACTTGCAATTTCTATGTTATACAAGAAAAAAAAAAAAATTCAAACCATTTGAATTTACACATTAACATGATAATCAGAATTCAAAAAGAAAAATAAATAAAATAATTAATTAATAATTTTAAAATGGGAAAATTAAACATTTGGCTATGTGTTGGAATTAGAGTGAGTTAACCTTGGAGCAAACTTTCCTAATTTCACCAAAATTTCCAGTAAGTACCCCTACCCTACCCAAATTAACCATTGATGTTCCAAAATCATGGAAAAAAGTTTCTCTACTATCATCATATCTATGTGCTTCAACATAACCTTTGGTTTCAGGATCATCAAGTAAAGCAGTATCAGATTGAAATAATCCTCTTCTCTTCGACACGAGCTCATAGTAGTGCACATCGAAAGTCTTGTAACTTCCAGGGTCCATTTCCACCAATGCATCTGGACCATTTTTTGTGCAACTCAATTTTAACCTAGCCATGTACTCGGGGTCTAGGGTTGGGTCCGAGGTGTTATCTATACCAGTATAATTGTATATTCGGTCTATGAAAGACGAACAATGTGATATTCCGATTGTGTGTGCACCTGCAACATTGTACGTAATAACAAGATTATAAGGTATTCAAATTTTGTTTATAGATATGAACCATATATATGGTACGAGTATTAATTTAATTACTTGTATATAGAAAGTGCATGCGAATACCTGAAAGGACAACGAGATCTTTGGTAGTAAGTCCTTTTTGTTGAAAACTTACTTTTAGAGAGTTTATTGTTAATGAGGGTGATGGAAGACTAATTAGGGCTTCATTGAGGGATGATATTATACCATCTCTTCTTCCAGTTTCGACCTCCCAATATGGTCCACCCACCTATATATGCAGAGGTAAATATACATTAACACATAACAATATTAATAAATTCAAGGCGAATAATAATATTCATTTTCTTTTCATTTGAAATGATATTCAATTTTGGCAATTAAACAATGCAAAATTTGACTATTAATTTGTACAAAAAACCTTTATTAAGGTGTAATAATATGGATACATTATTGTTCCAATTCCTTGTTGTATGTATAACTTAAATTTGTGATTACAATTTCAATATTGTAATTCATACTTCAATTCTTTAAGTATCACTAGATATCATAATAAATTAATAATGTTGGTTAATTTTGGTAAATCAATAAAATTAGATGCATGACTAAATTATATAAGACGGGGATAGAAGTAGTGTATGTAGTTACCGCGGCCACAACATCTCTTGCAACTACGGCAACTATATCCGCACATGAAACAATTCCCGGACATGCTTGCTCTAATGCATTTTTAACTCTGTCAAAAATCTGAAATCCCCGAAGAGTTAGATTTGGAGGTGCATCTTTTTCAGCTTGTTTGATTGGGGAATCCAAAAGAATAGACGCATCACAACCCTGAAAATTAGATACTTATACTTTAGAAACGCGTACATCTAGCTATATGATTTCCTTTGTTGGAAATTGCTAAGTAAACTCAATAATAAGAGAATATAAATAAGAATGATGCATACCCGTACAAAGCAATCATGAAAGAACATTCTAAGCAAAGGGCCAGAAAGTGAAGGTGCAATCGCAATAACTTCATTGATAATCTTCTTTGCTTACAATTTAAGCGATATAAATTAATTGAGTCTCGGAAATTCAGGTAACAATAAGAGTGGTGGTCTCTTAATATAAGGAAGACACATGCTACGTGATATATTATATCCTGAATTTCAGATCTAACTAGCTAATTAGTAGTTTCTGATTTTGTCTATTATAGTAAATTATATATTTCTCTCTAGTTCGACTTCGAATGTATGAATGCAATAAGGGTGTAGCATACTATTGAGCCCAGCTCATAGCAGCCTAACTGGTTTACAAGAATTCTGTTATTAACTGAATCTTATTTTCCAGCTGTACATTTTTGTTATTTCTCTTTTTCTTTTTGCTAGTTAGTTGACTATATTAAGTCATGCACAGTTGTAAAAAATGCATTAAGTGCGAATTCTCTCTGCTATTTTCTCTCTAAATAATGAAGTATATTATTAGTTTTAGTTCCCAAGCTCAAACATCCAAGGATGGAGCAGTGCCAGTGATAGTGAAAATCCTGTTGTCTTCTTCTTCGTTTTCTTGCCTTCAATACTTAGCTGTATTTCAATGGCATCTAGCAGACTTTGACATGGTATCATTGTTGAAAAGAATTTTGATCGTCTTTGTTGAGATTGTTGATTGATTGGTTTGTGGTTGAGTTTTCGATCGGAGAAAGAATTTTCTGAGTTTAGGTTTCTTGATATGAGATCATACTTAGATTTGTTCAAGTTGGCTGGAGAACAAGGATTTGATAGTCAAAGTAGAAATTTGGAATTGACACTAGATCCTATTACAATCTACTATATACATCCATTTGATAATAACATTCACAAATTCATTTCATTATGAGATTTTTGATGGTGAAAACTATACTTAGCTTCTTGGAAGAGATCGATGGTTATAGGTCTGTCTACTAAGAACAAACTAAGTTTTGATGGAAGTTTGTATACTCGTGTAATTACAGATCCTACTTACAAAGCATGGGTTAGATGCATGCAATGATCTGGTAATTGGGTGGATATTGGGAGTGCTTGGACCAGTTACAAAGAAGAGTGTATTCTTTATAAGACTGCTAGGGATATTGGGAAGGACGTACTTAGACGAAGAAAGTTATGGACAAGTCTCATCAACTGAGTTATTCTGGGATTCCAGAAGAAATTTCTGCTGTGCACCAAGGAAATGAAGAAATAGCTGAGTTTTTTGCTAAGATCAAGGTACTATGGGATTAACTTGATGATGTTAATCCAATACCAGTGTGTACCTGTAGTGGATGTGTGTGCAATGTGACAAGGAAATTTCTCAAAATTTAGCAAGATTCAAGACTCCTGCAAATTTTGATGAAGTTGAAAGATGAATTTAAACAAGTTAGGAGTAACATTTTGATGATGCAACCCTTACCAACTCTGACTTTGGCTTACAGAACAAAAACACAAGCAGATAAGTGAACACAGTAGTACTTCTACAGAGGGGTTTGCTTTTGCTTTTGCTTTTGCTGCTGACGGGAGAAGGTTCTATGATAATAGAGGTTTTAACAATAACAAATCTGGTTTTCAATCTTACAACTACAACAACAACAACAATAATAGAGGAGGTTATCAAGGGAACTTTCAAGGAAGAAACATGTCAAATAACTATAGAGGAAACAAGCATGTTTTGTTTTGTGAACATTGTAAGATGACAGGTAATTTGGTAGATAAATGCTACAGGCTTCATGGTTTCCCAAATGAACCAAAATTCAATAATGGACAAGAAATTTCCTAACATGGCACAAGGGGATAGTTCAACAAGTTTTGTTGATAATGGAGATGAGAGTGTTACCGCAACATTTTCTAGAGTTCAGTACACCAAGTTTATGAACTATTTGGATGGTTTTAAGGAAGGGGTAGGTGCTGCAATTGTTCAAAAACAGAAAACCGACGAGAATGAAATTACTTCCAGAGTAGCATATTTTGCAGGTAAACTATGCCTTCTTTATGCTTTTAGTTTAGTACTGGGTGGATAATTGATAGTGGTGCCACAGACCACATTTGCAGTGATTTGACTGTATTTGATAACTTTAAAGTGATGAATTTACAATAATTATACCTGATGGTAGGAAAGTCTCTATATCCTATATAGGAACAATCACAATAGAACAGAACATTGTGCTGAAAGATGTCCTTTATGTTCCTGAATATCAGTTTAATCTGATATATGTTCATAAACTTTCTAAAGATCTTCCTTGCTGCATTAAATTCACTTCTGAGTCATGGATTTTACAGGGTCCTACCTTGACCAAGGAACTTGTTATTGGTAATCAGAAGTCTGGTCTGTATTTTGCAGACAATATTCCTTTCGCAAAATCTCTTGAGCATAGTTTTCACTTAGCTTCTACTGCAAGTAGTAATAAGTTTTCTACTAATTGTAAGCAGAATAATGATGCAAAATTGTGGCATCTCAGATTAGGACATTTGCCTTTTAGGCAATTGAGTCATGTAATTCCTAGTGTGAATGTAAAGGATTGGAATGATGGCATTTGTTAAATATGTCCTCAGGCAAGACAATGTAGAAAACCTTTTTCTTAAAGTCAAATAAAACCTTCTCTTCCTGGCCTTTTAAGCTCATACATGTTGATATTAGTGGTCTGATAAGTCTAATTTATATATATTATTATTCCCCGTCCCACGGTCATATTTGTGCTTATTTGAACTCTACGAAACCATTTTTATTACTAGTATACGTTTCCTAGTGTTTTTGTAGAGTTGGTATTATTTTGTAGGAAATTGCATATTTATGACGATTCCCGAGCTTATTGAGCCACTACGAAAATATTGGAGTCGGATCATATTTTATGACCGAATATTTAAATCTGAATGGCGTACTAAATAAATTTAGTTCGGTAAATAAGGGTTTGATTGGTGAAGAAGTCCAAGTTTTACAAGCTAGTATTACGGACCAAGTAATGAGGCCACAAATCATATAGCAACAAAGATTAAGTTATAGGCCCAAGTGAAAAACAAGGTCCACAATCGGATCTGCTAGACGTGAAAAAGCGGGCGGCCCAATGACTACCCTTGATTTCGCTAATTTGATGTCGGTTGATGGGGAATTATAAATACCCAATTAGTGGGTTGTGTCAGGGGTTATGTAAGTTTTTCATTAGTTATAGTTTAAGAGGGATTTCATGATTTATTAGCTTTAGTTGACTTTAATATTAGTTTTTGCGGAACTTTTCGTTAGTTTTAGTTTTACTTCCTTGATTATTATTTATTAGTTAGTACAAGTAGGGTACTGTAGTTCTTAGTTTTGCACGCTAATTAGGAATTTGTAGGTTTTTGTTTTCATCACATTTCGTCTATTTCATCTTTGCACTAATTACTATTGCTTTCCGTTTGTTTAATGATTATTATTGTTTTACTTTTGTTTGATTATTATTATTGTTGATTTTACTTTGGTAATTTTCTTTAATATTGGTTTTTATAATTATTGTTTTTATTATGTTAAATTTAATTGCTTTGATTTAATTATGTACGAGTAGTTTATTTTTAGGGTTCTTGAGGATCCATAAATAATATGAAGGGATGATTTATTATTGTTGTTTATCAATGCTTGATTAATTTCCTATTGATTGATTTAATGTTATGCAATTAGATTAGGCTTGGTTTAACTTTATTCATTAAACTTCCTAATTTACCCTTAACTTATCTATTTGCATTGTACTTTTTTTCACTTTCTCTCTCTAACTTTTGTCTATAATTGTACTTTTCACTTTTTCTCCCCTTACATTATCCACTTGCCTTGTACTTTTGTCTAACTTTTTTCCACTTTTAATGTACTTCTTCCACTTCCCCCATTTCTTAAATATTGTGACAAAAACACAATAGGAACTACTTCCTCAGTTCCACAAATATTACAACTAGGATGAAACTACGCATCCCAAATTACATTTTATATGTTAAATATTTATAATTATATGAGAGTAAAAATTATAAAAAGTTGATATCGTAAAAGTATTTTACGTGATGAATCTAACAAGATTCCACATGACTATATTTTACTTTATGCATAGATCATAATATGTGGTCAAACAAGCGTGGTGAATAGTGTAAAACTCCAGTTGTTGCAATATTAGTAGAATGGAGGAGATATATTATGGGACGGAGGGAGTATTATATTACCTCTCATTAGTACTCTTAAAATGTCATTATCTACAAAATTGTCATTGTTATGTATTTGCTTGTGTCTAGTTGTGAGGCCCTATGAAGCGCTCGTCTAATAAGGCTGATCAACATTATTGCTGTATTGCACACGTCCTTCAGTTATCCACCTTGTCACAAATTGCTGTATCTCGTTTCCAATTAAAAAATAAAAAAAAAGATTAAAAATTAAAAAAATGGCCTATTTCATGGACAAAAGTATGACATATCTTCCTCCATATCGTACTTTCGTCGGCACGATAGGCCATTCCAATATGTGAATGGCTATCTTTTACCTGCCGAGGGGACGTATCATACAAATAGTTTTTGTTTCTTTGACAGCGGAGAATGATAGTGGAGACGTGGAGTTATACTTTATGAGATTTTTTTAATTCTAAAATAAGTAATCTATTACCATAATCATTTAAAACAATTCAATGATTATCATCCTGACAATAAAAAATTAATTAAATTCAAGTAAAAAGTTTTTTCAGAAAGTAAAATCACTTTGACTAAGTAGAATTTAGCACATGAACGACATTTATACAATAATGCTCCGTCTTAATAATCATTAAAAAAATTAATTTAAAACCTAAGATTTTTTGAGGAAATTTAATACAGTACCTAAGCTAATTCAGGATAAATTCTTGTTTAAAAAAAAAAATAAAAATTCATCAGGATATCATGTAAAGTAATATTTTTTTTTCCGCATTTACTCATTTTGGAAAAACTTTCGACATGATAAGGTAAGGACGTAAGGTGATACTCTGTATGATTGTACACTTGTACATTTTTAACGGCGGTAATTATTTATTGAAACCAAGACCTAAACCAGATTTACCAGTCTTACATTTACCATCATTTACAGACGTACAGTACTACTAAATTTTTGTAGTAGAATTTGTGAGTAATATTTTCGCCATGAAACACGCGATAGTGAATATTCTCAACCACCTGACATAAATTTCCTTTTATATACAATATCACCTTCACTAGCATCATCAGTGTTACAGTATCTTTTTCCACTATTTGTAATTCCTTTCATCAATGTCGAAATTCCATAAAAATCCAATCTTTTTTCTTCAAATTGTCATATTTCTTAACCAATTTGCCAATATTCTTTCTCAAACCACAGATTTTTCCATAATTAATTGTCTAAATAATCATAAAATAACAAACTTTACTTTACACCCAAATTCAAACCACATTTCTTCTATACACTACAATCATTTACTCAAATTCTCGCTCCAAAATCTAAGGGTTGCTAAAGATTCAACCCCAAAACCAACGGCTATAATTTTACCTGAGAGTAAGGAGCAGCTAGCTAACTCTGTACTCTGCTGCAGAGGATCATATTTAGAGATTAGAATCAGGTGTGGTGGTCATAGTTATGAAGGTATATCCTCAATTCCACGTGGCAACAACCCATTTGTTATCATTGATATGATGAATCTCAACCGTGTGATTGTTGATCTTGAATCTGAGTCAGCTTGGGTTGAAGGTGGTGCAACTTTAGGGGAATTATACTCTGCTATTGCAGCCCACAGTAGTTATTATGGGTTTCCTGCTGGGTTGGGGCCCACAGTTGGTGTTAGTGGCCATTTTTCTGGCGGTGGGATTGGGGTTTTGGGCCGGAAGTATGGGCTTTCAGCTGATAATGTGTTGGATGTGGGTTTTATTGATGCCGAGGGCCGGGTTATGGGCCGGGCTGAGATGGGGGAGGAGGTGTTTTGGGCTTTACGAGGCGGTGGTGGCGGGAATTTCGGGGTTGTTTATGGGTGGAAGGTTCAACTAGTCCATGTCCCTATAAGGGTCACTTGCTTCAGTGTTACTAAAGAAGGCCCAATTCATGAGTTGGCTCAATTAATATACAAGTGGCAATTTGTTGCACCATACTTGGATGATGGTTTTCATATCTCAATTTATCTCACTGCCAGCACAAGTAAAGAAGTGTATGTTACTTTTAAAGGGTTTTATCTAGGGTTAAGACTTGAGGCGATGTCAATCGTAAACCAACATTATCCGGAGTTGAAGATTGATGAAGAAGAGTATCTCGAAATGAGTTGGATTGAGTCTGTTTTGTATTTCTCGGGCCTTCCTAAAGGGAGTACAACCCAAAATTTAAAATCGCGGTATTGGTCTGATAAGTCATACATCAAGGCCAAGTCTGATTATGTTCGGGAGCCCATCTCGATTGAGGGACTAGAGGGTGCACTTGAAATGGTTGCTATAGAACCTATGGGGCTTCTACTCTTGGACCCTTATGGAGGTATTATGGATCGGATAAGCAATGATTCGATAGCATTTCCTCACCGAAAAGGAAACCTATACAACATTTTGTACGTTTCATTTTGGGTAGAGGAAGATGATGATAATCGGATTTTGAGTTGGATTAAGAAAGTTTATGATTACATGACGCCTTTTGTAGCTTCTAACCCTAGGGCAACTTATGTAAATTACCTAGACCTTGATCTTGGAACAATCGATTTCACGAATAAAGATGATGATATTGTTGAAAAGGCTAGAGCTTGGGGGGAGAAATATTTCTTGGGAAACTATGATAAATTGGTGAAAGTCAAGACCATTATTGATCAGCAAAATGTATTCAATCATATACAGGGTATTCCTTCTTCTAGTGTACAATATCATGATGAGTTGTGAATCAAGTGTACATTAATATGTATGATGAAATGAGAAATAATAATCCAATGTTGTTTGAGATCAAATATCATTAAGATCATACGCAACTATGATCCGAAATTTATATATGATTTGTATGCAACTAGTCAACTAACTAGACAAGTATACAAGTAAGAAAATATGGGATGGTGGGAGTAGACAAAAAGTGCTACCTTATTCACTAATTTCAAACTATTAATCCGAAACGTGTGAGTGTGTGAATGATTGGTAAGTGAAAAGGTATTCTTTATGCTAACTTAACAAATTGAGGTAGTCATTCCCATATTTTTTGAAAGCTCAGCTTGTTGATGCTCTACGGAATCTATCCTTGAAGAGATGTACTATACAATAACTTTTTTTTTTTGAAACAATGTACAATAATACAAATAATTATATATATTAGAATTGTTGAAGAGATGCACAATACAAATATTATATATATTTTAATCTAATTTAGTGACAAAGGCCAATTTATTGCAAGTAATTTGATCAGATCAAATTATAAAATAAGTTCAGATAAGATCTGATAGACAAAAATAAGGTGAACAAAAATAGCATTAACAGAGTGTAGAGCTAACACTTTATAAATTGAAGACGCAAAGGTATTTATGACTAAGATAGTCTCATCCTTCTTATCAACAAGATTGGCAAACATGGGGCAGGGTGAAGTTTGCAAAGCCCAAAATCTTTTTTTTTTCTAATAGATTTTGGCTATAAATCTCCTTGTAAAAGCAATAACATGACTCAACATGACTATGTTCTTCATGATTTGAATATTAAAATATGAATTAAAAAGAAACATGTGAACAATGTCAAATGTGTAAATGGTGCTTATGGAGGAAGTATTAGGTAATATATCTCACTTTATTTGTTACAAAAAATAAAATATATCTCACTTAAAATTGATTTTTGTTAAACCTGTTGTTTCGGTACAAACAATGTGGACCTAAGAGGTTCCTTAGTCAAATGGGCCGAAGTCGGTTCTCGGTCCAAGGATGATGGACCGAGGGTTTCTTGCACAACAAAGCACGTTAACTGACCTCGAGGGTTGTACGAGAAACGCCCCTCCAAAGCCTAAGTCAGTCCTTTTAATAATATAATAGGAGAGTATTAAACGCAATGCAAGAGTATAAATGCTTGAGGCTAACAGTGAATATCCGACTATGGTGGAATTTTTACCCATGAGGTAGTAAATAGCATGGGACCCTCAAGACACGTGTCAAGCTCTGAGCGTGTGGGCTCTTTTAATGACTTTACCTTTGGACCGATATTGATGATAATAGACCTTACTCAAGGCTATTAGGCTTAGTGGCCCAATTGATTTTCAGGGACCCAAAATGGGAATCCACTTGATTTTCAGGTCCCAAAATGGGAATCCATTTTGGCACCCAAACACCTGTAGAGTTGTTTTATAAGGTAATACATCTCAATTATTCTCTAGGAGGTTATGAGTCTTATGACATTAATTATTCAATAGACCATGTCCACATGAAAAACATTACAATAATTCAGCATTAAATAAATAAAAGTGGTTCACGAGTTTTATGCATGTTGAACATCTTGTAAGTTTTCTCACATAGCTGTTCTATAAATTGGTATAGTAAATCGATCAATTCTAATAACACATTTGTTAGCTAAGATTATCTTATAATACAAATGCTTATTTTTAATCTTATTAGACTCATATTAATGATTTTAGCTTCTCTTTGTGTTGTTTCCTTGTCACAACCATCACAATCGATCACCTCTTGCTTAAGTAATCATCGTGTCACAAATTTCTCTCTTCTACCAACTTCACAAAATCAACGTAACACAACATCTTACTACAATCTTCTCCATTTTTCTCTCCAAAATCTTCGATTTTCGACCCTCAAAAACCCGAAACCATCTGTTATTATACTCCCTAAGAGCAAAGAACAACTTGTAAGCAGTTTTCTTTGCTCTAAGAAAAATGATTATGAGGTTAGGATTAGGAGTGGTGGGCATAGTTATGAGGGCATTTCATCAGTTTCAACTGATGGGAAGCCATATGTGATCATCGACATGATGAATTTAGATAGGGTGGAGGTGAATTTACGATCGAAAACAGCTTGGGTTGAGGGTGGTGCAACCATAGGTCAAGTGTATTATAACATAGTAACACAATCTAAGGGAGTGTATGGGTTCTCTGGTGGTAATAAGTGCTGGTCAATGGGGTTTGGGGGTCACGTATTAGGAGGTGGTTTTGGGTTTTTGTCTAGGAAATATGGGCTGGCTGCAGATAATGTGATCGATGCCCTCCTCGTGATCCCAACTGGTAAAGTCTTGGACCGGGCTGCCATGGGGGAGGATGTGTTTTGGGCCATTATCGGTGTTGCTGGGGTAAGTTTAGGAATTGTGTATGCTTGGAAGATTATTTGGTGGAGGTGCCTCCTAAGGTCACTACTGTTAAAGTCTTAAGAAGTGGTCAGGTCAACGAATTTTCTCAATTAGTGCACAAATGGCAAAAGGTAGGGCCTTTCTTACCTGATGAGTTTTTCCTTTTTGTTATTATTAAAACTAATAATACTGGCGGAAATGGTACTAATATTGTTGCATTAATCTTTGGGCAATTCCTCGGGCCAAAACTCAGAGCACTATCTATAATATATGAGTTGGATAAAGTCGGTTTTGTACTTCACCAACCTCGGTGAAGGAGGCACAATTGATGATCTAAAGAATCGATTTGTACGGGATAAAATCTATTTCAAAGCAAAGCCGGACTATGTAACAACACCAATTCCCATAGATGGCCTACGTGGTGCCATGGATATACTCGCCAAGGAGACTAAGGGTCATATCACGATGGACCCTTACGGATGAAAATTGGCTCGAATAAACAATGGCTCGATTGCTTTTCCTCATCGAGAAGGAAACCTCTTCAACATCCAATATTCGGCGGTGTGGGGAAAAGAGGATGATGCGAACAACGATAGATATATAGTTTGGGTAAGGGGGTTATACAAGTTCATGACTCCCTTCGTTTCGTCTAATCCAAGGGCAACCTACATTAACTACTTAGATTTAGATCTTGTTGAAAAGAATTATGATGATGTTGATTCTAGAATGCAGGAAGAAAGATCTTGGGGTGTGAAGTACTTTATTAACAATTACAAGAGATTAGTCAAGGCCAAGACAATCATTGATCCTTGCAACGTTTTCAACTATCCGCAAGGAATTTCACCGATGCCAAACGATAAGATATGTAACAAGCCTTGAGGCAACAACAAATATGTTATAAATATGTACCTTTGAATACTTTATGGATTGAATAAAATTCTATTTGCTCTTCTCACCTTATTTCATCAACGTAGTCATGTTATTTTTGTAAAAGTAATCATACACAAAACACAACCTTCTTATTATTTCCGTTTGAGCTTATTTGAAATGGACACATTAAAATTAGCTAGATCTAGCAATATTTTTACCTAGCTTAATACGGAGATAGTGTAGAATTAATAAATCTTTGTATAATTAATGAACTTTTATACTCTTTCAATCGTTTATATTTTTCAAGAAAAGTCTTATTCCAATATCAACGACAAAATATTATATGCATATAAAATAAACTATGCATTCAATGTACTGTTAGAGATGAACATTATCACGAAAATTGTCATAAGACTATGCATCATTCAATTCCAAATACGGAGAATACAACTATACATACAACATATTTGATATCATTACCACCATTTGTCATTGTATGTATATCTTCAAATGATCGAATAATAAGTAAGGTTTAGTCTAGTTGAAAAGTTTACATGCACTTTACAACTATAAAGTTGTGGGATCAAACCTCACTAGAGGTACTTTTGGGTAGGGATTCTCATACTCTTTCTCCCCACTTTCAAAGTGTTTAGCCCGCAACCCAATAGTGTCCTTAGTAACCCAAAAAAAAAATCAAATGATCGAATTGTATTGGAATGTTTTCTATTTTTATTAATTATAATTATTTTTTTTGAAGAATATCTAAGTCCATGTTTGGTGCTCAAGTATATACTCAGTATTTTATATAAAAGGACATATTGTCCCTCCCTTTATCCTCCTACAAGCCAATATATATATATATATATATATATATATATATATATATATATATATATATTTATTGAAATCATTACTCTAAGAATTGGAACGAACTGCTTGCCCAAGATCCCGTAAGAAAACATATCTTTAGGCTCTAGCTTTTGCTACAAACTTCCATTCATTTAACAATCTATTATATTCCTTTCTTTCTACATGCAACAATCCTATACTTCAAGTGTTACTCTACATATACACCTAAAACCTTAAAACACTTACATGTTTATTCAAACTGATCGAAAACCCATCTCATCATTCCTTCACCTCTCCTCCATATAAAAAACACGAAAAGCAAATAGCCGCGAGGAATGAACCACCACAACCAAGGCCACCTCCCGATCCACGGAGACAATAACAGACAACAACCGTACTACCACCGTACCCACACGGTCCGGTATTACGCCCACCGGGTGAAGGAGAGCCTAAGCACAAGAGTCTCCAAGTTCATATGCACCATCTTTTTATTTATCTTCTTTATTGCGGGCCTAATCGCCTTTATCATTTGGCTGGGCCTCCGTCCACATAGGCCCAGGTTTCACATTCAGGAGTTTTCCATTCCAGCTTTGGCCCAGGCCCAACAATCTGCGCCACCGGAAAGTGTTGCTGTCAATTTCAATGTCACAATCCGCAATCCTAATCATAAGGTATGATTTACACATGTATTATCCATATACTTACTCCATAATAGTGTTAATATACTTACATAAGTTACATAGCACTAAAAGGTTACTTATAAGTATTAAATTATATGTTCTTTTAAGTGACTAAAACGACATTAGTTAAAAACTTATGATATAATTATATGTCAATTGATGATAATTATGTTTAGTTAAGGTTTAAAGTTTCTACTTTTGTTACTTTACATCAAGGGTTACCTATAGAATTTGTCTATTCTCAATTATTCTTTTTAACAAATTTGATATTTTGTTTCATTACAAGCACAATTCTTTTTTAATGTAGTTTAATATTTGTTTTTTTATTTCATGATGCTAGGTTTTATCTGATTTGCTGATTACTAAAATAAGTAATCTTACTAATAATCTAGCTAGTTAGAATGAGATAAGCTAAGCTACACCAAGCATATAGCTTGCTTAAGTTGCAAGTATAATCCGCTACCTTTATACTGACTTCATAGTGACGTATTCCGCATAATATTATGGGTGTGTTAGGTTTACATTACCAAATGTAAGTTATTGGTTTTATCCGGGTTGCAAATTGTTTAGGTTAAATTCTAGGTAAATTAGTTCTAATTAAGTCTAATAAGTTCAATTAATATTGATTGAGGTGAAAAGATAACATTAAATATCTTGTATGTCAATAAAGCTGGGCATGGGCCAGGCTGGCACACGGGTTGCCCGGCCCGGCACGAGCACGACAGCGGCACGACACGGCATGTGAAACGGCCGGTGGGCCGTGGGCCGTGCCGTGAACAAGTAAATTGAAATTTGGCACGAGCATGGCGGGCGGCACGATACTTTTATAATAAAATTAATATTTTTTTTAACAAAATAATAAAGCAAATATTGAAAAAATAAATAAATAAATGGGCGGCACGGGAGGCCGGCACGACACGGCACGCTAGGCACGTGGGCCGTGCCGTGCCGTGGCCGACTTATGGAAATGACCGGCACGACACGGCACGACCGTGCTAACCTAACGGAATGACAGGGCACGGCCGCCGTGTGGCTAGGCACGACACAACTCGCCGTGGGGCAGCAGGACACGGCGCGGTACGGTGTCCAGCTTTATATGTCAATATAGCACATATAGCTATCCCGGCATGTTAAATCCAAGTCAGGTCGACTTGGTGATGGTGGTATGCTGTATTTTGGGACGTTTTTGACACAAAAATTTAAATCTTAAAACATCCATGCAAACTCATCTTAGTCATCTACATATGTTTTTGATTTTCAGGTTACAGTCCACTATGATTCAATAGAATGTGCAGTTTTTTACAAAGAACAACTAATTGGTGGAATCCCATTGGTGACGAGTGAGTTTGATCAAGAGTGCAAAAGTACAAAAATACTTCAAACGGGCTTAGAAGGGCCCACTTTGACGGTCAAGATTCAACGGTGGGCGGAGATGCAAAAAGATCTAACGGCTGGGAACGTCCCATTTCGACTTCAAATTACATCAGTTTTTAAATTCGAGATATTATCGTGGGGTACCAACAGCAAAACACATAAAATGCATGCTAATTGTGCTGCTCAAGTGGGCCCCAATGGATTGCTCTTGCCTCATTTAGTCGGAACAAAATGCCCTGTTTATTTCACTTAATTAATTAATTATTATTATTATTTTTTTTTTTTTTTTGTAATGTTTGATGGCATATGATGGTGAGATGTAATTATTTTTTTAAAATTTTATTTATGTATTGTAATAAGTATAAATATTTTTGGGGATTCTTTGGAGGCTTCTTTTGCCTATTGTAATTAGTGGCTTTTTTTTAAAAAAAGAATTGTGATGTTATTAAATGATGTCAATTGTAATATTTCTACTCTTTAATTGATTTAAAAACAAGGTGATGTTGTTTAGTGAATAAATATATAATAATGTTTACGAGTTTCAAAAGAAGCAATTTCTTATACTACTTTCATTTGCTTTTGTTTATCTTGTATGTGTATACCTCATCGCTGGGTCACTTGGTTTTATTAGTAGTATACTAGTATAGAGTAAAATAAATAAACACAACAATTTAACTGGTTTCATGACTTTTGATAAAATTGTAAGACTTTAAATTGTCCGATTTAATTTTGGAAAATAGCAACAACTCCAACTATGCTTCCTTTTCCTTGAACAATTCAAACTATTGATCATTACTTAGGCCCTTTTGCATGTTAACTAGATTATTAATACTCGGTATTGCACGATTTAGAATAGAAATAAATTTTTTTTATTAAAATGTTACAAGCTAATTAATTTGCAACAAATAAATAAGTATATAACCAACATAAAAGAGAGTTTTTGATCGAGAAAGAAAAAAAAAGTCATTAATATGTTTTTGGTATATTGAAATTCACAATTTCATTTATATAAAGAATTATTTTCTGTATCTTTGAATTTGGCAGAACAAAGAATAGGAATGATAATTTTGACGGAAATTTATTTCATGAAATATTAACACACATACAAAGATGATGTAATTGGTTTTTACTTTAGTTTTAATAGATTAGTAGTTATGGATTGCGAGTCATATAAAAAAGTAATTCGAGAAAAGACATCCCAAATTAAGCTCGAGACTTTTTCTTGCTAAGCAAAACTAATTATAAGTAAGAAAGAACAACACCCTAATTAGTAGTAAAATGTTATCAATGTTATAAATAACCATGTTTATGTAAATTAGAGAGACATATAAAAAAGAGTTGCAATTATTTTCTTTGATAAGAACTTGCTTTTCACTTATTTTAGCTAGTTGTTTAACAAACATTTAAAGCATTTTCTTATTTAAGCCAACGAATTACCTAAACTGTTATACCAATTTTTCGAAGTTCAAAGTTTAAAAGGATTTTAAGATGAAAAACCTTTTTCAAATCTAAACAAAAAATCAAGTCATATCAAAGTCAGGTTTTCCAGGCGAATAATATTTGAGGTTTTTAAGATTTGAAATTGACCACCTTTTTATTTGTAGTATAAATCATACTTCGTATCTATGTTTGTTCATACCTCTTTCATCAAGTGCTATATGTTCATACCTCTTACATTAAGTCCACGTATTCTAAATTGATTCTTTTCATCAACTAACTTTGTAGAAAGCACACTTTCCATGTTAATTCTAATTATTAATTAATAGTGTTATTAGCGTATTACTAAACAGTGCAAGAAATAACCCACATGCATGCAATTATGGAGTAGTATTTTTTCTTTATTTTGTTAATACTTAGTACGGAATAGTATGCAATTAACAATAATTAAGAGGAATAATTTAAAGGTTGTACATTTGAAACGAATATCTTCTTTGTTCTTTCCCTACTCGATCTTAACACGGTTTACTAACTTCCACTTATTTGGATTCCACTTGTAAATGTTGGTAAATACCGGTTGATTCCAATAATAAAAATAAAGAAGATGAAAGGGAAAAAGCTTGATTGAAGATATATGTGAAGAAGAAAAAAGAAATAAATCAAGCAAAGAGGCCTTCCACGTGAGCCCACGTGCAGCCGGATGTATTTTCAGCTTGGGAGGTAGCTCAAGCTTATAGGAAACTTTCCCGACCTTCCTTATGATCGGGAATGGCCCTTCATACTTCCGCACTAGCCCCTTATGCACCTTGCGGAAGACTTTGAATTGGTGCGGCAAGAGCTTCACCATGACTAGGTCGCCTTCTTGAAACTCCAATGGGCGCCTGTTTTTGTCGGCCCACTTCTTCATCTTCTTAGCGGCCTTATTCAAGTAAGCCTTGGTGATGTCGAGCTGCTCGTGCCATCCCTTAGCTAATCTGTAGGCAGCGGGACTGCTACCCGTGTAGCCCGATACAACTGCTTGTGGAGTCAAGGGTTGTTGACCCATGACTATCTCAAAGGGGCTTTGCTGGGTTGCCTCGGACCGCTGCAGATTAAAGGAGAATTGGGCAATGTCTATGAGCTTTGCCCAATCTCGTTGATTGGCACTCACAAAATGCCTCAAATAGAGCTCCAATAAAGCGTTCACTCGTTCTGTCTGCCCATCCGTCTGCGGGTGGAAGCTTGTGGAGAAATGTAGACCTGACCCTAGCAACTTGAAAAGCTCCGTCCAAAATTTGGCGGTGAACCTTGGATCACGGTCGCTGACGATGCTCTTTGGCAAGCCCCAGTACTTGACCACATTCTTGAAGAATAACTTGGCGGCTTGCTCCCCTGTGCAATCCTTATGTGCCGGTATACAAGTCCCATACTTGGAAAAGCGATCAACTACCACCATGATAGAGCCAAACCCCTCTGACTTGGGCAAAGCAGATATGAAATCCATTGAGACGCTTTCCCATGGCTTCTCTGGTATAGGCAAGGGCTCCAAGAGTCCTGCTGGCACACGTTGCTCTACCTTGTCTTGTTGGCACACAAGACAAGTCTTCACATAGGCCTCTACATCGTCCCGCATGTGAGGCCAGTAGTATACCTCCTCCAAGAGTGCCATTGTCCGCTGTATCCCAGGGTGACCAGCCCATAATGAATCATGACACTCCTTCATGATGTCCCGCCTAAGGTTGTCCCACTTAGGCACATAGGTGCGACGTCCGACGGTGTAGAGTATCCCATCCTCTATCCAAAAGCGTCGGGTCTTTCCCTCGTTAGCCAAGTCCATCAAACTCTTGGCCATAGAATCCTCCTTTAAACCGTCCTTGATTCGATCAAGGAAGGTGCTAGCTATGCTGCTCACGCTAGCAAAGATTGCCTTGCGGCTTAGAGCATCAGCAACTACATTTACCTTCCCTGGCTTGTACTCCATAGCGTAGTCAAAATCAGCTAGGAAGTCTTGCCATCGAGCTTGCTTGGGGCTTAGCTTCTTTTGATTTTGGAAGTAACTTGTTGCAACATTGTCGGTATAGATGGTGAACCGACTCCCAAGCAAATAATGTCTCCAGACACGCAAGCAATGAATGATAGCTGTCATCTCCTTATCATGCACTGGATATCTCCTCTCAGTGTCATTGAGCTTACGTGACTCATAGGCCACTGGATGCCCTTCTTGCATGAGAACTCCTCCGATAGCAAAATCTGAGGCATCAGTGTGTAGCTCGAATGGCTTTGAGTAGTCGGGCAGTGCTAATACGGGCTCTTTGGTGACGGCATCTTTCAGGTCATCAAAGGCCTCTTGACATTTGTCGCTCCAACACCATTGTGCCTTCTTCTTTAACAAGTCAGTTAATGGCGCCGCCCGTGCTGAGTAGCTCATGATGAACCGCCTGTAATAGTTGGCGAGCCCAAGGAAAGAACGTAGTTCCGACACGTTCTTGGGCTCCTCCCATTCCCTGATGGCTTGCACCTTGTCATGCTCCATCATTATCTTTCCGTCTCTAATATGGTGTCCCAGGAATGACACCTCCTCCTGTCCGAACGAGCACTTCTCTTGCTTCACATAAAGCTCGTTCTCTCGTAAGACCTGGAACACCTGTCTCAAGTGCTCCACATGATCTTGTAAGTTGTCGCTATACACGACGATATCGTCGAGATAGACGACTACAAATTTATCAAGGAAATGCCGAAAAATCTTATTCATTAAGGTGCAAAAGTAGCAGGGGCGTTGGTGAGTCCAAAAGGCATCACCAAGAACTCATAAGAACCATACCTGGTCACGCATGCCGTCTTCGCCTCGTCCCCTTCGGCGATGCGTACCTGCCAATACCCCGATCGCAGGTCCAACTTGGAGAAGTATCGTGCTTTGCCGAGTCGATCGAACAAATCGGCGACTAACGGGATTGGATACTTGTTCTTGACAGTGATCTTGTTGAGAGCCCGATAGTCAATGCACATTCGTAAGCTGCCATCATGCTTGCGTTGAAATAGTACTGGTGCTCCAAATGGTGCCTTTGAGGGCCTAATGAACCCTGCTTCCAGCAGCTCCTTCAATTGCTTCCTCAATTCCTCGAGCTCTGGTGGGGCCATGCGGTATGGTGCCATGGCTGGAGGCTTGGTCCCTGGCTCCAACTCAATCTCGTGATCCACCTCCCTTCTAGGAGGTAGTCTCTTTGGTAGCTCCGGAGGCATCACATCCTTATACTCTACAAGAACTCCGGAGATTTCTGATGGAACCTCATTCCCATGGGGCTCCTCTTCCTCCACCAATGCAGCCAAGAAAGTCTCTTGTCCCTTTTTGATCCCCCTGGACACCTGGATTGCTGAGATTGTCTTGGCTTCAACTTCTTCTCGTGTGACAGGAACGGACCATGACCCTTGATCCCTTTTGATCATAATTGACCCGTCCGCTTCAAAAGAAAAGGGTCTTACTGTGTCGATGAACTCAAGTCCCAACACCAAAGAGAAGTCGTCCATATGCACGACTGTGAGATTTATGGTGCCACTCCATTGTCCCAGACAAATAGGCACCTTATGCGCCACTCCAAGGATAGGAACGGGCGAGGTGTTGACCGTCTTGATTCTCCCCGGTTCCTTGGTGTACTTGATTCCCAACTTCATTGCTTCCTTCTCCGTAATGAAGTTGTGTGAGGCACCACAGTCCACGAGTGCCTTAGAAGCTCTCCCATTCACTAATGTATCAACAAACATAAGTGAGCCCTTCGGGCGAGGTAACGTGCTTACCTGGACCACTTTGGTGCTCTCTTCAGCTTTTGGTGTGGCCCGTACGCTACTAAAGAGGCGCAACGACCCCATTTGTGCATCGTCCCCCGACGATTCACCGCCCGAAGCTATGATGGCGCTGAGCTTCTGTCTCCCAGGGCAATCCCTTGCCCAGTGCGACCCTCCGCACAAGTAACATCCCCTGTTGTTGGGCTTGTCAGATGATGAAGAAGACGACGATGATCCCTTTGCCTTGTCCTTTTTCACCGTCTTGTTGCTATTGGTGCTGCTTCGATCAGTGGGCTTGGCTCCCCCACCTTTCCCTTTGTTGCCGTTGCTACGCCCTTCCTTCCTTGTGTCCCTGTAATCAACCAAGGACTCTGCAGCTGCGATGGCCTCAGCAAGTGTTTGAACGTTCCTCCTTTCTACCTCTTGT